TTAATATACTCTAAATAATTCAATTACGGGGAATGTCCCCGTATATGACGCCCGCATATGAAGTAGTTTCGGAGTAGCGTAATTTTAAATTTTAAATCAAAGTTTGATAATTAAGCCATATAGCGTAATTTTAAATTTAAATTCTCTGCCTAATTAATTAAACCAGCAGGAGAAGAAAAAACGGTTTAAAAAGCTTGGATTTATCTTATTTTCCAAATTTTATAGTTGCAATTTAAAGAATTGATTGCAAGCGCTCCTCCCCCCAATAAACCTCCGTCATTTGTCCAATTATAACTGTGGCACAGCTTGTGTAACACACAATTACTAATACCAAAGAAATCATTGGCCTCCTTTTGTTTTACTCGATACATCACCAGTGCAGATTAAACTACCACTCTTAATATATTGATATCAATAATTAATAGTTGTTTTCCGTCTTCTTTATCATCACATGATTATCACATATAGTCCTATCTTCGAACAAAGGTCTATCTTTATCTATTCCGCATAGTATCAATCTTACCATTTAGCGTACTCATCTAAAAGAAGATATCATCTTGTGTGCTAATATTGTTTTCGTCTGGAAAGATGAAATACTATATATCCGATTTTTGCTCTTATCACATAAACCGTCTTTTGAGCGTGACCGATTTTGGAAATAGTCAGTTGATTGGTTTGTAACACAAATACGCGCGATTGGTCAGCATAAACCACAAGCATTTTTTTTTATCTTTACAGGCCACTAACGATCACCTTTTTGCTCCAATATCATCCCCTCAATTCTCTCATAAATAGTATGGGTCCGTCTAAAACGGCCGTTCAAGAGGATGTTCGATGCGATCGCAAAACTCATGACGATATACAAATAGGACAATAATAATTCTAATTTGGCTTTTGTTACAGACAAAAATGTAACCAATGGATTATTGTTTTTCCTAAAGAAAACTTCTTCCATCGAGTGGAATTCTATTTTTTTCCATCCCACCCCACCCTTCGCAAATATAAATAGATTGCGTTTGATCCATCCTGGGTCACAAAGAACATACGATGCTCAAATACGTCAGGCAATGTTTTCTTGTTTGCCTTCTTCGACTTTTTCTTTGTGAATAAGACACGTAGTGATTCGGATGTTTTAGAATGCACTAGCAATTTTGACAATTATAGTCTGATATCAAGGGGTGTCTGTGTCTGTTCAATAGTGGAACATAACCAATTGTCTAGCGAGTGCATAAATTGCTTCCGCTTTGAGAAATCTGGTGCATGCCCTATCTATTGCTTGTTGAGAGATTTGTTAATACCTTGTAAGATGGGAATATATAGTCGAGGTTTAATTAATAAAACAAGTAGGCAATATATTAATTTTAATTTTGGATCGAGAAACAAATCGTTAAACAAAATGTGCACAGTCTCGGAGCTGCAAACGCCGCGAATAATATTTCTGCAATTGTACTAACACAACATGTCAATTGATATAAGCTAGAAGCAAGGCATAGCGCATAATATTGTCGGACCTAGATATTTTTTAGTACTGTTGTAATGGCCGAATTTCTTCCAACGGTCACTGATTTGTCCTCAACGTTAGTGAAACACGGAGAGCATTGCAATATTTCCGTAATGGCATTGAGTGTGTCCTTCGATAGAATATTATGTTGCATGCACTCTATCGAGAATAAGTATGGTGGTGCATATTATCGTCATTTGTTCAATATTACAAGAGAAGAAAAGCTGCTGCATTTCATAATTGTCTCACAAATAATATTTATTTTTTTCTGTCTCAAGCTTAAAGAATCGAACCTATTAATAAGTGTTCAACTCAAAGCACATATTATTTAATAAAAGATAAGTAATTATCGGTATCAATCAATCTAGCAACGGATTAGGTTATTTGATTACGCCATTTAATTATGCCAAGCCCTTTCGCTTTTGTCATATGTGGGAGTTGGAAAAAAAACTTGTGGTCTGCTCATACTTGCTTGATGACTAATATCTGATGTAAGCAAACACTTTGTAGTACACTTATCCGACAAGATAACAATGGTGTGTAAACTTAGAAAGCACAGATTATGAAAAAACAAACGAGATGGATCCGATTCGCGTTCTTTGTCAGGCACAGCGGTGATGAGCATCAGGTGTACGTATCATGTGGTGAAGGGTTTACATTACTAATCGCATAGACTTGGGAACCAACAACTAGTTTTATTTTTTTGCGAGGTGCAAATAACAACTTTCTGAACAATACGACCCAAGTCTGTCTGTTATTCGATGGATAAACTGTTTGCCTTTTGCACTGCTACCATAACAATAATATTCTAACCATCAAGTGCACGTCTGTAGAAAAAAAAAAGCGGCTGAAAGAGAGTGGAAAAAGTGCCCAAGACTTTCTCATACACAAACATGTCTCTTACGTTTGGCAAATTTAATAGCCAACCGAAGAGATTCAATGGAACCAGTTTGCAGCAAGTAAGTCTTAGAAAATTTATTCAACATAGTAATAGAGTATTAGATATATCAACAAAAGTGACTGTAAACTGTTGCGCCGCTGTAATTAAAATTATCTGTTTACTAACACGGCAGCATATTGATAATACTAAATTGTCTTTTAGTTTATAGAAAGCTTGAGCAATACCCACACCTAAATATATCTGGTCAAAAAATACCATTATAGTCGGGGTTGGATTATAACGGGTTTCTTGACAGTAGCAAGACTCTGTAAAATTCTCACACGCTTAAAGTGGGCATTATATGGCATCAAAGGTTATCTCGTTAAAATAAATTCGGCTTACAACAGCTGTAAACGTATTGTTGGCAATTGTCATTAATCTAATTTCTTTTTAATACCATACTTATACCATTAGGTTTCTCTTGAATTATTGATGACAACGTTAACATATCTCAGACAGCAGAGAGAGAAGGGGAGAGAGATTGCTGCTTTCCGTCGATCAAAGATGGTTTGTCAACACATAGAAAAGTTAAGGCATCACTGATATAGATTACATTACGTTGAATAACTTGAGGTAATGAGCAAAGCGTTATTGACAGTTATGTCGTTGATCGACAATTACTTGTTGAAAAAAACCGCCATATCCGTATCAATATGTTGTCATAAACCGAGCTGCTGGTAAATTGACATCTGGTTCTTAAACACGCCTTTTTTACTAATCGAAGGATCGACGGCTTAATAATTAATATTACGCAATCCATTGTTTATATACAATGGTGTATTAGTTATGCAAATGCATATACAGTACCTGGTGAGCATGCCATGTGTGAGACTATACCGGATCGATTTTTTATACTTTAACTAATCTCAACAAATTTCGGATATTTTAGGTGAATCTACGCAATGCAAAAGAAAAAACTTGACCCATCGAGAAAGAGTTACAAGATGGTGAGTTTGCTACCAGTATACATCGTTAAGTGAATGTGCATTAACATGATTCCGACGTAAATCTTAGTCTGATTGAAGCACACAGCATTGATGCAAAAAGCATACACCCAGAACAGAGGTCACCTATCATTCAATGAACGATTGGTTCCAGTTTGGTACAGTATATGCAGGTTGCGTCATAGTATACCGTTTATATATATTAATATAGCACATGCTAATATTTACTTTAATGTATAACAGCTTTATCAGTCAGTGCGCATCGTCAATTGTTCACTAGGAATTGTTCAACGGCAAAATCTTCAGAAGATTCTCTGCTTCTCTCCAAACCGGCAGAAGAAACTGTACTAGTTTAATTATTGCATCTTCAAAACGAATTGATGGCATAGTAATAGTAACAAAATACAAAAATATTGATAGAAAGTTTCATCCAATCATTTTATCGGTATTACTAATCGATTATCACACAATTTTCTTGGCATAAACAGGTTAAACAGTTTTTGCTATACACGTTGTCCGAATGGGATTTTCAGTTGATTAATACGCTGAAATCGTAAGTATTAACTACAATACTACAAGTCGTCGGAATCAAAAATCTCTTATAACGAGTCATTAGTTAAATCGGTCCCAGCAAAAATCTTTCTTATTGACCAGATTTCTTACTTAAGCAATTTATGCAATAAGAAAGTGTCCGTATAACGGGTGTCGAGAATGATTTGTGTCATGTGAGGTATGATAGCCAACTTTCATCGTTGTAAATAAAGAAGAAGAATATTCTTCAACTGTTAATAATATCAGGATTGTTGATTTTACTCTTTAAATGACGGCATTATTAGTGTCATAACTATCCATCCTATTATTCTACAGGCACTATTTCCGGTCAATTTGAGATTGCAATTTCGACTTGCGATACATATGTTACTATTAAATGTAACGTTTAGGTTAAGTCGCTGATACGTGTTTTCTTTCCTTTTCTTTTACATAGAAGCAAACTCGGATTGACAAACAACGACGATTTTAAGCGTTGCTGTTTATGTTTGATAAAATCGGTACTAGGTTATATATAAATAAGACGCATTACAACATTTTGTAAGCTGCAGTGCCAGCAGTGTTATTTCATTGACGACTCGTACCAATTCAATTACTGATATTAATAAATTAATTGTTCGAACCGATAACCATTTAAAAGTGGGGGTCACGGTCACTAATGACAAATGTCAGCTGAGGTGGGAAGAGTCAACCTTGTAATTCACGGCTGTCTCCGACATGGTAGCGAAGAAGTCAAAAATCAAGACGGTGCACTTTATTAACGAAAACCAAAAAAGCACAGTAATATTGGTTCGACGAAACTAGTACGTCAAGCCGAGGCGAAAAATCGATCATGTATTCGCATTCGCACAGTATTGTGGCATGTCAAATGGAAATGTACGTATGTCCATTCCGAACTAACATATGTCATTTGGAATTACTGTCTGTACAAGAGACGCATCCATTGATAAGTATCTAGTTACAATATCTATATATTTTATAAGCCATAATGTCATACTACATGCTTATTATTGTTCTATTGCGTCTTCTTTTTCTATAAATAGTAGATCACACCTATCAATATTGCCTACGCCAATTCCTATCATTGCAAGTAACCAATTTATTGTTATTATTATTACATTATTTGTCCTTGTGCTACACTCCAAACATACCAATTTATCGCCGCCCGACTCATTTGATTTGATAGGATTTGACTCTGACGTTACAACCGTCTTTTCAAGAGCATGTTTACGCAATATTTCGTTGGTACGACGGCGTTTAGGTGATGCCATTTCCTATGGACAGGATAATGGGTTGGGAATGTACGGAACGAAGTAGTTGGTCTGAAAACTATAAATATTTCTCATATTACCTCGGCACTCATTCTCGCAAACTCTTCTTCGTTGATATCACTGTTTATAACTTTCATCCGTAATTCTTTGTTTTTTCGTAGATTCCAGATTTTACTTCTAATTGCACCCTTATAGTGTTGGTTCATTTTTCCATAACACAATTTGAAGACTTCATGTTCAATAAATAACGCTCGGTTTCTGCATGTTTCTTTTTCTGGACGAGTAATGGGTTGAGAAATGTTACGAGATTCCTCGTCAAATCCATGTGTGTACATTTACCTTTGGCTGACAGTGTAGCTTTATCTGTTAGGGCTTCGGTGAGCAGGTTGACGCCTGCAGTTTTTGTGGCTTTGTTAGTAAACCATAAACCGAAAACGCTGTCAAAATACCGATCATAATGGGGGAAGAATACTAGCATTTAGACCGATAACTGGTGTTCATTGTCAGTAATCACGTGTAAAGGGAGTAAAAGAATGCGTATGAGATCAGTTTTACGGAAAATTACTTGTGGCAAGATCGCCGACAGTAATCGACTCGGCACCATTTTATACTTGTCTGTAGAATGACGTTATTATTTCCAATTACGTTCCCTACTCGTCATTGGGCTGAATCCTTGCGCCAAAGTAAAATCTGCTGACAAGTCATCTATGAAAGATCTGCAACAGAAGTGAGTATAAAAGACAAAGGTAACGACACAATCTTGACTGCGGAGTAATATTTTACCATGTGACTCGCTTATCAGCTTGCCGCAAAAATTGGTTATCCAGAACATCATCGTGTTATTATTGAATTGGCATTTCGTCTCTTATCTCTGATTTTGGCATATTTTTAGGTAGTTTAGTTTGAATCATTGAACTGAAACGTCAGTTATCATTCGACATACGTCATTTGCACCTTGATCTAGGAAATAGACCCAACTACCGATTTGGAATTACAATCTCATTAACAAAAGCTGCAGAAGTTTGTGTTTCCTTTGAAAGATTTTATTCTTTTGAAATCATGACAATCATCCGCTCGTCTATCTTTTTCACAAGTGTCAGGTGTTTAATATTTGCTGGCTCAAAGACAAATATTCATTACGGTACAAATTCCGCAGCCTTATAATAGGTGTTATTGCCGAAAACAGTAAAGTCGTCTCCAAATATATGATAATGTGAGAATTAGGGGCAAAACCCGCTTTACCAAATGGCGTTAACGCCATCAATGCGAAACTTGAAATGAAATAAGTCATTATTTGGGAGTTGTCTTCCATGTGGCATTTGACCATAAACAACATTATAGGGTTAGCTGATGTCATACCAGCCAAAAGCGTGGACTTGTAACTCATTTTTACTGGTAAAAAATGACAAGTCATGCAATTAACATTCGAACGTAAATGGTATAAATATGCTGACTGAGTTAATATTAAGTATCTGTTATCTCCAAAACACGACCCGATTATAACAAGACGATATGGACCCGTTTAATCTAAGGCATTCGCACAAGATCTGGGTACACGTTATTTTCACATAAAACTTCTGGTAGGTTATCATAGCCAGAGTTGTCTTTCCAAGTCATAGTCTTAGACTACACGAAATGGACTATACCATCCAACTGTGGTTCGAGTATTAAGGTTCTGATAACGTTATAGTTACGAGAGCTGTATCATCGTATAGTGTCAGCAAAGACGCTATTTATATGCAATCATATATTAAGTAATAAAAAAATGCCATTATTTGTGTTATTTATTTATATTTCTCATAAATTAGCAATTCTCTTTTCACTCAAAATATATCACGATCGCGCTTTACAAATAGTCGAGATTTATTGTGTCACATTAACAGCCAAGGTGAAAATAGAAAACATGGGCTCAAAATTTCAAGCCGCTGTCTTCCCGACATGCATTACTGTTGTGTAACTGGTGGTTATTGTTTAGAGCATTGCTCGATCAATTTACGTAAGCCAATGAAAACACACGGGAGAAAAATAGCATTGATGTTAATTTTAATAAACCGTGCATATCCGCTGTCATGTCACAATGAACTGCGCCGGTATTAAGAATAGCCAAGGACGCTTGGCGAGCGCTAGTATTGTTAGTAAAAAAACGGCAGTTGCAGTGTAATGGAGTTCAGTATCATTATAGCAAACGAGAGATTGCCCGCTACCCGGACAAGCAAGGGGAATGTGAATTTTGGCGTGAGCATTGCTCAGTCATTCTGGGTTTGTATTACTATAATAGGTTATGGCTGATCAAACCTAATGTGATTCGCCGATCTACCGGTTTGGGACCGCTCTTGTGGCGCAATAAAACGCACATTTTTAAATGTCTTTTCTAGAACCGACTCTGTATTAGTAGTATCTTTTTACCCAAAACCCAATTTTTTATGGCCTCTTCCACTGAAGGAAAACATGGAAATAGACTGAGCTTTGGAAAAGGATTTGGGCATGACGTTCGAAGAGGTATGGTTAAAATTGATCCAAGATTGCCTGACGATCTGAAAAATGTAGTAGTATGGCTGAAGGAAGAGAAAGACGTAATTTCTGGCTTGCATGCTGTTATCTCGGCAAAGAAAGAAGGTACGAATATTGAGAGAAAATGAATGGCTAGAAGGAAGATATTTATGGGAATCGAATTCACACGAGACGTGTCGATAATGGTCTTTTTTTTATAGCAAGCAAGTATTTTCACATATGGGGAAAGAATGAAGAGGATGACATTGCTGTACGTAAATGTCTTTTGATCTTTACTTCATTCCTGTAGCCGATTACCTTCTTAAGCGTAATTATTATTTTCTTAGGACGTTGCGGAAAAAATGTCCGAATTGATGTCAAAAACGCTAGACGTAGAAATAGTATTTTGGGGTACGTTTTCTTTCCACAAATACTCGCGTATAAAACCTCTTCAACCTATTCATCTATTCACATATTCTCTTGCTTTCACACACGCACGCTCCATTAGAAAAGTACAACCGATACCGTGACCTTGTCAAGCAAATACGAGATGCTGAACACCGCTTGGTCGGACCGAAAGATAAAAAACGCCGTTTAACCGATGAACTAGCTCGTCTAAGAAAACATCAACCTCAGTCGCCAAAAATTCGCGATACCGAGTTGGAATTAAAGAGAGCAACAGAGGATTATGAAGCAACGAAAACAGATGTTGGGAACGTGAAGAGACAGCGACTAAGAGAGGCGCTGACATTGCTGACTGATGCCATGTTTGAGACAGCAGAAAAGGTTGCGATAATCGCAGGTTTTTCATGGTATTTGGTCGATTTGATTGATAAGGACATTCTTAATTTCGGGGAAAGGAGAAGACCGTATAACGGTGAGAGGGATTTAACGATGATTGAAACATTGTGTTGCTATTTGCATTATTAAATCCATGTTTTTAATCGATCTGGCGGCATTCCTTATTGTTTCTCCTAATTGCTATAGGTGCGGCAACCAGCTCTCAGGTAGTCCAAGACTGCCAAGTTCACTTACACCGCTGGCAGCCATGCTCAACAGACATCAAAATTATTGTCTCCACTCTTACAAACACGACCCTGTCTGAAGGGGCTCAGCAAAAACAAGAATACGAACTTAGAATCGCTCAGCTCAATTCCCAACTTGCGTCTCAACGCCAATCATATGAAGCACAGATCCGAGATCTTACCGCTCGTCTAGAAGACAACCAACATACTCTTTCGTCTAAAATTGAAGAACTATCAGGTATTTTACGTCATCAGAAAGAAGGTTCTCAAGTGAGATTGGACGATTTATCAGCAGCGTTGACAAACCAGAGGGCCGAATATGAAGCAAAAATACAAGACATGCATCGTGCATTAATGGAGCAAAAGGCAGGGTTAGACGGTCATGTGAACGAGTTGAATGCTTCATTACTTGCAGAGAGGCAGAAGAATTCTGTTCAAGGAAGGGATTATCATTCTGCTATGGCGCAAAAACACGAGTATGAAGTACGGCTGAGGGAGAAGGATGGGTTTATTTTATCGTTGCAACGTGATATGAATGCCGTTGCAGCAGAAAAGAACAGATTATCGCAGTTGGTGCGAGACTTTGAAAATATGATACGAGCTCAGGGTGGCGTATCCGATACCAGCAGGTTAAATATTGAAAGCAACTTGGAACAAATAAGAAATCAACTCGCGTCTATAAACATCACACCAAACTATGGGGTTCCGCCAGGTGCTGCCCCAATTGATGCAAATAGAATAACACCACCAGCCCCCCCCCAATACCCCCAGCTCCCCCGGTACCCCCAGTACCCCCAGTACGCGGTGGTGGCGTTGGAGGAGGATTGCCTCACAATCAACCGTATGCTAGGCCACCAATTCCGACAGTTTTATCGCCAAACGTGCCATTGACGACATCACCAGAGCAAGATCCATTTTTGAATGGACGTTCGCCATCACCTATCCAGAAGCTACCACCTCCTGCTGATAACAATACAAATCGTCCGGGACAGCAAGGCCCCCCCCCCCCTCCGGCGAACTATTTTCAGCAATTCCGACGACCGCCATTCTCTAATCCAAACTATTATCAAGGACCCGCTCAGCCTCCACGCCCTCCAGGGTTTGTCGGCGGATTTTTCATCCCACCTGATGGTGCCAACCCTCCACGTCCGCCTAAAGGTGGTGTTGCGAATAATGAAAAGTGAACAGATTGATAGTTGTTTGGTGATGATGGGGTTTCTACTCCAAACTTTAATTATAATTTTTTTGTACATTTTTTCTTTTTTAATCATGTATTATAAGATGGTTAAACTGTTTGAACAATGAGTCTGTGGGATATAGTTTGATCTATAAAACATGGACAGAATTGAATCGGGATTTCTCTTTCCATTATAACAATTATTTTCATCCAACAAATACCTGTTCAAAAAAAGGGTTACCTCCATCTGCACATACAAATCACGTTCTTACAGCGTTCTCTGTTAAGTCATTATTATTTATCAAGTCGCATATAATCAGAGAGTTAGAAAGTGAGTTGCTAACTATTTTGTTCCTTATAAAATGCCATTTTCGAAATACAATATTTTTTAAATGGGGCATGCTGCAACAAAGCCAGACAAGCGAACATGTGACGCCACTAGTTATTTTGTCAATATGGCCATAGTTACAAACACAGTAGGAATTGGTCATATATAAAGCGCAATTTTCCCATCATGTTCATGTTCTGATAAACGAGTAGTTCTTAATACTCTGTAGTTGTGAACCACTAATCTCTATAATTTGCTTAAGTGGGAATGCATTTTAGATAGATAGATACCAACCTATAAACTTAACCTAACTAGATCGTGAGTAGTAAAGTCTATATCAAAGGTCGTCGTATTTAAGTAAAAGTAGAAGCTACAGTTCCGTTTGAAAACAGCTAAATCCCAAGGTCAGCGATTGATTGCTCTCTCGCCACCATATAGTTGGGGTGAATCCCAAGTCTACGAGGACGCATTTTCAACCCGTTCTTTCTATTCACACTAGTGTATGTATATAATAAAACTAGTACACTTTGTCTCATTCTATTGGCGTAACCGATTACTGGTAAAAATAGTGTCGTTAAATCTGACAAATAGTATAATGATGATATATATTGTTACAATTTGAATACTCATTGACCCAACTAATGCGATTAAGCATGATCCCTTAGTCTGCCTAATTTTGACGAATTTGTTCCTTAATTTTGTGGTGCATTTTTAAGGTTGTTATTATTATGCTGCACTTTAGCCATTAATAAATTTTTCTGAGGTTTTAAACAAGCTAACAATTGTAGCAAAAAAAAGAATATTTGCAAAAAATTTTATGTAAAATTTACCCTATTGAGACTATTACTATGTTTGGGTCACCCTATTATTAGGCGCTATTTTTTTTCTCATCTCATGAGCCAATCGATGAGTTGTTGAAGAGTAATGGATTTTTTAAAGGCAGACACTTGACTTGATATTATCATTTTTAAGGCAATTTGCTTTTTAAGATGAATATTTTGTCTAGTCTTTACAGTTTCAATAAACAATATTTTACAACAATAAAATGTCTCTGTGACGAGTATTGTACATGTAATTAAATATTGAAAATCTAATTTAAATTATTTTACGCCAAAGACGGTGCAAAGATTAGGCGATTTGAGACATTTAACAGACATTAATATTAACAGACAGCTGACAGTACTAAAGTGCAGTACTTTTGTGACTTATATTGATCAGTTGAATAATCGGATTACAGATCACATGATACAACAATGGCCGGTTTTTCGAACAAACATACACCGTACCCCGCGTACAATTCGTTATTCGATATTGCTTTTGAATAATTTACGTCATAATGATCGGCAAATCGTTTCGTAACGTATCCAAATGCGATTATAATACAGTCGATGTCACATCCTATACAATCACAATCTCCTCATTAACCCAAAGCATGATTTAAAACAAAGCCTCGATAAATATGATATTTGTGAATATGTTAAACAACATCCAAAAGCAAAGTATAGCAAACTAGTTTAATGAGAAATTCATACTTTCTATAGAGTGGTTTAAAGAGAAAAATTAACATTTAGTATAATAGACATGACCATACGCAAACCTTCATACAGTCACATTTCCATACAGTCACCAGTTTTGACGGTGTGACTGTATGGCAATTGTTCTAATAGTGACGTTAATCAAATCCGAAATTTCACGTGAAATCAAAAAATAATAAAACCTCTTGTAAACAAATGACGCGCTTTACGCTTTTTACCTTGCAAAAGATAACAAGCGACTATTACTGTGACGATGGCATATGATACAAGTGCTCAAAATTTCTTCTCCGTTCCAAGTTTTGTTGTGGCAGCACAGCTGGCGAGGGACGGAGAACAAGTCCAAAACACTGTCGCTTCTATTCGAGAGCGACATTTTGATGCGCTGGTCGCATCGAGTAGTATTGTTTTATTTGCTTGGCTAACCGGTATTATTCCTGCGGGTCAGGGATATTACCAACCTTTTATTTTTATTCTTTTATTTATCTCTTTCATTATAGGTCTTCATTCAGCATACTGTGACTGGCAGACGAGCCGTCACTTTAATGAAAGACGCCAAGCATATTCGAGGCGTCTCAAAGACTACCAGCGGTGGCGAGACCTGCCGAGGTGGGACGAAACAAGAAGGTTTTCGCGATGGCATTTGTATTGCCAACGGATGCGTCAGGAGGAAAGGGAGAACCGAAGGCAGGTAACTATTCAGTGGATAACGCAGCGTGAGGAGCATATCGCTCCTCGAGCTTTCTATCAAAGAGAGCAAAGGCTAGAACTTAGCCTCAGGGGGTTCAACAGGGTATTGAACCGCCCGGCGGACTACGTTTCCGCAACGCTGCAAAGACGCCCTCACTCTATCCCACCGTGGGCTTTGAGGGCGACTAACTCCATGAATAGAATATTCTCTAGAAACCTGCCTGCTTCGGTACCTCAGGAACCTTATAATCCTGAACAAAGTAAAATAAACGGAAATAAAGACATTGAATTAGTTATTCGTATTTTTTTACTCGACTAAATGTCTTTTTCTTCTTAAATAGGGATGTCCCCTTTTCTCCCACCCTTGGTCGACTACCCACCTAGACGACCAGGGCGAAGAAGAGCTGTGGTGCAGGGAAACCCAGGTAAAATAAATGAAATCAAATGTTTTTTATACTTATTCATAAGGCGTTCCGGCTAAAGTAATTTTTTCTGTTCTTAAATAGCATCTCCACCACAATCGCCAGACTCCTCGATCCAGCAAGCGATCGATACGAGGAGCCAGTAAGTTTTATTCAGCAATGCCATCTACCACAAGTTTGGTAAGATATTAATTATATTTGCTTTAAAGGGAAATTGTGGTGCAGCCACCTCAGCCAAGACGCAACCCACCTCGAGCCGCAAGACCACAGACCTCTAATAGAAGGCAGTAAGTTTTTGTGTAAAATATCATGATTATAAGTTAGATATTTAATTATATTTGCTTTATAGGGTCGATACAGCGCCTCCGCAACCACGACGAAACCCGCCTCGAGCTGCAAGACCGCGGTAAATCAACCGCGAGGCTCGTAACAGCAATCGGTATATTATTATGAAATAAAATAAAATGATTTACATTTGTTCTAAAAACATGAATTTTACCCCTTGTATTTTATCGAGTTTTGAGTGAATAATAAATAAAGATTTATGTTCGACTTTGTACAACATAGAATTATGTAAAGGTAGTGATTGAGAACGCTGAAACGTCGATTTTCCCCTTTGCGAGTCCTTGGATGCGGTACTATGCTGGCTCCATTTAATATTCTAGTAAATTTTAGGCGAGTCGGGTTCAGCCATCAAAACGTGTCTTATTGTATGTATATATAATTTCCAGAAATAAACCCAATCTAAGATGGGATTAATTCTTTGTCTACTGCAATAGTATTTTAATTATAATAATGCGTCTACATAACAGTTAACTATCATAATTTGCCACTCGAATAAGAGGCGATTATTCTTCATCGATATATAGAATCACCAGCAATGTATTTCAGAGTATAAAGAACTACTCGTTTATTTACAATAAAGGAATCGAAAGTAACTTAGAACATTCTAAACATGCACATATCTTCAATCTAACTTATATATCTTTCGAGCAGACTAATTTCTCTATTTTAGCTGCTATTGCTTATTATTCTCAGTATACGTTGTTACTTTCCAAAGAGATTTTATGAAAAAAGACCCGATTTGGGATCTTCCTTCTTCCATTGTTCGCTCGCGATGTTTGTCTCGTTGACCTTGGGTCTTCCTTCTTCCACCGTTTGCTCGCAATGTTTGAAGTCAAACTGATCCAAGGTCTCGTTGACCCTGTTGCATTTATCTTTTCAGAGATGTAACGAATTGACCTTGGGTCTTCCTTCTTCCATCGATTGCTCGCAATGTTTGAAGTCAAACTGATCCAAGGTCTCGTTGACCCTGTTGCATTCATCTTTTCAGAGATGTAACTAATTGACCTTGGGTCTTCCTTCTTCCATCGTTTGCTCGCAATGTTTGAAGTCAAACTGATCCAAGGTCTCGTTGACCCTGTTGCATTCATCTTTTCAGAGATGTACCTAACAAGTTACAACGCCATTTTGTCGGCGTTATTATGACAGCCGGTTCTCCGCCTGGAAGTTAACATTCACTATTCTTGACCTAGTGAACTACAGCTGCTTGCTGATGATGGTTGTTGATACGACGTAGTCGCAATTGATCTAGATCCGCGATAAATCCTATTGTCCACCACTTTAATGTCTTTATTAACGTCAGCACCTCCTTTTCAACGACTGTTGTAAATAATGTGAATGCCAAATGTTCATGTTGGTGTTGATGGAGCTGCCGACAGTTTAAATATGTCTGCCCTGCAATCAAGGAAGAATAAGGTTAGACGTTCGTTGAGATAATACGTGTCATTGAAGTTAAGTAATTGAAGGACTAATCGGCAATACTAATACGCTTTAAAAATTTATAAAATATATGTAAGCCGCTATCGCAACTAGAATAATGCCTACGGAATTTAATCTCCCTATATATTGCTGCGGCATATAAGGGTCATTATGCTAATAAGCGTATAGTAATAAAGTTACAATCATAATATATACAAGCCAACTTACCAGGAAGCACTATGAGAACATAAAATGTATAATCTGTCAGCTCACTTTTAGTAAAAGAATTACTGACATTTGCCCGAGGGTTTAAAATCACAAGTCCTTCGAGGGGTATAAACTTGCCACCCTTTGGATTAAAAACTTTATAGAGGACGAGGTCTTTGGGGGGAGAGGTTATGCGGAGCTCTTCAGCGATTTTCCTTGACTTCATGCTGCTAGCAATTTTCGCCATAGACGACACAGTCAAAGCGTTTGGATAAAAATACTTGGCCTGTCGACCCGACTCATATTGTGACATCAGCCAATCAAAATTTTATGTGAATTACGCATATTCGCGTCATCTAGTTTGCTGTCCCCATATGAGTTACCTACGTTCATCGTTACGTGGTATAAAGATACCGGGATACGTACAGCATGCACGCTACTGCTTTGTCTCGCAATACCGCCGTGGAGCTCACAGCTTCAACTCGGGCTCACAACTAGATTCCGTAAATGGCACGCAAGGACAACCTCCAATAAGTGAAAAATGGGCTCGACCACCAAATCTCAATACTAGGAAGAAACCTCGCATTGATCTCTTAGCCTCGGATGATCCTGTTCGCAATGCTCAGAGAATAGAAATACTTGCAGAAGGAAATTTGTTAGAAGACGCTATAAAGTTTGTGAAAGACACTCCACCAAGTAAACTATCTGTACCCGTTTGGAATACTTTAATAAAAGAATTATGTAAGAGAAAAAGAATAAGGAAAGCGTACAAAATGTACACCGAGGTATAAATCTGGATAATTGCCGGTTATGGTTGTATCCGCGAGCATTTGTTACTGTCGTGGTCATTGTCATTCGTAGTAACCTTATTTTAAGGGCTGGTGAATGATATCAATTTTATTGACTTTACGACGATTATATCTTTTTATTCTAATAGATGAAACGTCGTGGATTCCAACCTAATGCATACACATTTACGACATTATTAAATGGGATGGCTGAGGGCAATATCACAGACAACAGCATCAACCACGCAAAGGCTCTTGTAGAGTCAATGGATCTATCCAGCGAAGTAAAAGTTAACCCGATTCATGGCAATGCACTACTCAAAGTATGTTCGCGTGCGAATGACGTGCAATCTCTCAAACAAACTTATGACACATTTTTTCAACGGGGAAAATTAGTTCCTAATAACGAGACATATACAACCATAATTAATTCATGCGCGCGTCATGAGCGTGAGGGATTCGAATTTGCTTGGAAGCTCTGGGAAGAGATCTTGGATGTGGTTGCCGAGCAGAAAAATAAGACAAACGATGGATATAAGTATTCAACGTCAAGATATGATAGTAATCATAACAAAAGTGAACTCATTGTCGACGATTTATTGGTATGTGCTATGATCCACGCGTGCAAGAACGCTGATGAGATTGAGAAAGGTCTTCGGATTGTCAGACAAGCTTATGGAATTGGAGATAATTCAGTTGAGCAGATATTTCATCTTCAAATGTCAACGAAATCCCTTGATGGTGCGCTCGGCCTGTGTATTCGCAGTAGAGCGCATCAACTAGGCGTAGAAATATTTGATAAGGCTATTACAAAATTTCCAGAAATGAAAATCGATATCTACAATTTCAACAGTCTCATGAAGATTTATATCGAAGCGAACAAGTGTCGAAACGCAATAGATGTGATGTCTACCATTCGTGCACGAAACTTGGTTCCCGTTCGTGCTACTTATGACTTGGCACTAACAGCTTGTAGAATTCTTGATGAATGGGGTACTGGAAAAGAGTTTTTTGAGGAATTAAGAGCACAGCAGATAACACCCGATGAACATATGTTAAATATGATTCTTGACTTGGCCAATAGCAATAAACTTGGAGACGCAAGAAGGGTCTTCTGGTTGTTAGATCAGATTGAAGTGTTATTTAATGAAACGGATCCTGAGCTGAAGAATGTTAACTTTGTAAAGTCGCTTTTAAAGGCCTACGAGATTGCATCAGAACATAGTAGGAAAGCACCGGAATTTGAAAGATGGAATAAGAGAAGGATTTATCTTAAACAACATCTACAGCAACTTTTACCTGAGACAAATACAGAGTATGATTCACGTAAGCGTTATTCAAACAAAGAATGGCGATATAATAAAGTCTCTGAAAAATTTCGGTAAACATTACGTTTTGGTTCCTCAAAAAATATAACGACAAAACATTTATAGTATTAGGCCTATACTCGGTTTTTTATGATCTAATTTCTATGATTTCTTTTTCTTGTCAATTAACTTGTCTATCGTGATTTGAAAGGTATCTGGTACCTTGTGAAGCGAATCGGTGATCCTGTTTGATGGCGTTGTTCTTCCCTCGGATTACTGTGTTTTAGAAGTTATGTATTTTTTCTGGGTGGGAGAATACTATTATTTTTCGCGTAAAGACCATTCAGTAGTTGTACAATTTATCTTCGAGTGTTCTATTCAATAATTTAATTGCGCGCTAACTTCGAAGTAATTCTATACTCTATCCAAGTATGGTTGACAATTAATAACCGTTGGACTTTAATCTTCGATTTGGTATTGACATTTCATTCATGGCACATATCTTAAACTCAGTCTCTTGTTTCTTATAAACCAGCCATGCTTTGTTCTGTTTTCAAGAGGATAAAAAATTATCGTGAGCATATACATCAACAACTGCCCAACACTGAGAAAACACATGGGTGCCTTGTATAGTATTGACCAGCCGATAATAACAAAGGCTAGGTAGTGCTGACAACATAAGACAGAACTTTGCCAGCCTTGAATGGATGCCATTCTACCCTTTCAGCCATGTGCCCATATTTTTGTTCAATCATGTTCTGTAGACATAATTATGGGGTTGTGTTTGTATGCTGGGCAAAGTTTTCGTAGTCCAGGATGATCAAGCTCTTTCATTTATTGCTTTTGTATTATTCTGGAAGCATGACTCGCCAGCAACTCATTTATATCACGTTTCTTTCGCCAATGACAGTATAAGCCATATCTTTTCGTGATTTCTGGGAAAAAAGTTTCTCTTTTGGTCTTGCTCCCGACACATATGATGCATATTACAGATAAAATATTTCATCGAACGTTTCTCCGCATACCATCCGCTTTTAGAAATATGTATGATATAACCCTCCAGGAGTGACACAAAGTTTTAATAGTAAAACATATAAAAAGTCTTTCTTTTTAAAAATCTCTTCTGCTCTTGTGTACTGTGTGAAGTGCAATAATTTTTGTATGGTTCAGAAACTAATTGATTATGCTTTCAAAAAAAAATAACAATAAAATTTTATAAATTATTGCTATAAGTTAATAGCTCGACGAAGTGTGAGTATACGTCTATACATATATAATCATATGTTTTTATATCAGAACTATACAAAAATTATAGCACTTCACATAGTACACAAGGGCAGGAGAGATTTTTAAAAACAAAGACTTTTTATATGTTTACTATTAAAATTTTGTGTCACTCCCTCATTTATTGGAGGGGGTCTTTGTGGGAAGGGTTTTGTTTCACCCAGGTTAGGGACAGACAAGACAGTCGCCTTCCATTCAATGTCCTTGCAGACTTGATATTGATGTATCATAATGATTCATGTCCAAGAAAAAAAACAGTCATCGAAATAGAGGTATAAGTTACGTCATACCAGTATACAGTGTGTTAAGAAAAAAACGGCGGGTCAATAAAAGATGCGTTTTTTTGTAATACATAAAGAAATACGCGTTATTCAGTATTATAGATAATTTGCAGCTGACTTTTATTAACGAGAGTGAAAAAAATTAACATCTTTTATCATACGATCAATTCATATCCAAATTCTTTTGTTTATACTTTCTAAAGATGGTTAACGCGAAGCTCGAAGCCCAAAGACAATATTACTGGCTCAACGGTACCAATTCAGCCAAAGAAATACACGAAATAACAAACATTCTGCATATGCAACACCCGCAAAAAGAAATAAATAAATGGATGTTCGAATTTGGGTATTTTGTTATGAATACGAAGGGCAGAAGTACTGAATCATGGGGTGATTTAGCTGACTCCAAAAGGGGATATACAGCTTATTAAGCTTATAATAGGCACAATTATTGTACTGTTGAGCGTAATCTCAAAAAACTTAGAGCAACAGGTACCGTTGAGTACAAACCATATCTCGCCATAATAGTGTTCTTTCGACCCGTCAACTTGCTGCAAAAATAGAAAATATGCAGAATACGCGTATATCAATTTCGCACGTTACTCTATGGGATTACATGAAGTATAAAAGTTCTGTGCCTTTAGCAATACCGATGCTCACCGAACGGCATAGAAAGGCTTGCATACGAATGACAATTGGAACGGACAATATTTACGGCACAAAACTGGTGATAGACCCATTCAGAAGGTAATCGAATGGGAAAAACTCTTTTGTTTCACGAATATTATGAATGGTTGAATAGTAATAGTTGGCGTTTGCAATTCATGAAAAATAGCAAATGCCACAAAATGCAGACGAGTTAAGGTTGAGGAATGGGACGCAATTCCTCAGGGGATAGTTAATAATTTAGTCTCTTCCATGCAAAGCAGATTAAGATGTATTTTATTGCATCACGGCAATAGAATCTCATACTGAAAATTTACTATTAAATAAGGTACCTAATGAACTTTCAAATCAACCAAAATTTAATTTAAATTCGTAATTGTTGAGATATACAGTTTTTTGTCACCGCCGTTTTTTTCTTAACACACTGTATTAGTATGTTCATATTATGATTAATTGGAATCTATACCAAGTAAAAAAATCTCTCAATCTAGAGGATAGTAAAAAATAAAGGTAAAATTTGAATAGTGATTTCCCTAAAAATGGGGTCCAGGATTTTCAACTACTACTATTAGCATCTCCATCGAATGGGAATCCATTCTCCATTCTCTTCGGTGATGTTATTATTATCTTCTTCAACATTATGTACACCAAAATCCAATACTTCGAAGAATGTGACTTTGTTTCGTTGTACAGCTGCCACACACCTGCGTTCATCGAATCTCACTTGCCTGTAAGAAAAATAAATTTATTCCCGTTTAATAACGACACATCACTTTAGATTGTTATCAACATATTGGCACCCATTTTGTATCCAGCATAAAAATTCTTAACCTATGTGATGAGAACAATCATAGGTCTCCCTTAGATAACAGAATACATACCAAGTTCCACTGAGCCCAGTCAATAGGTCACGAACGAATTTCCCTGTCTTCATGTCCCACATTTTTAATGTACCGTCAGACCCAGATATGACCTTGTGCTCGTCATGCTGAAAGCAAGTGATTGCACCAGTATGTGTAGTTAACACGTGTTTGCAAGTGCCATCATTCGGATTCCAAATGCGCAGACTAGAGTCTGCCGCTGCCGAGACGAGATAATCATGTGAAAAATCAAGAAGGCCGACAAGAGATGAGTGACCTTTTTACGTATAGAATCATAAATTGGGAAATTCAAACGAATTAAAGTTAGAAAACATATGAATAAACTTAACAGTCCATGAATAAACGAAAGTAGATGACAAACCTTCCAAAGACCAAACACAAGTTCCGTCTTCCAAACTCCATACTTTCACTATGCCATCCATACTGCCGCTCATGCACCTATTCCTTTTTGCATCCAATACTACCGAATACACCTTCTGCGTATGACCAGTAAGTTTCCATAAACACTCTCCAGTCATAATATTCCACACTCGCACGCTGCAGTCATAACTCCCGCTAACCAAAGTATTTCCTACTCCAGCCAGAGTACGAACAGAGTGCGTGTGTCCTTGAATTGTACGAATAAAATATGGACTGTCCTGAAGTGACACGCTATCAGAAGGAGATGATGGATTGGATGGTGCGAACGGGGTATCATTAGTGGTATCGGGTAGACGCCAGACACGAAGTGTGGAGTCGCGAGAGCCAGTGACTATTAGAGGAATGGGAGGTTCGACTATACTAGAATCGCTCGTAGCCTGGGGCATGATTATTTGTAAACATCTTACAGTACCAGTATGTCCGGAGAATGCATGAGTGCATACCCCACGCTTGATATCCCAAACGCGTACTGTTCGGTCCGTTGACCCTGAAACCAAAGTATTACCAACATACTGTAATGCCCAGACACCGCCGCCATGCCCTTCAAGACGGTTTATTAATTTTCCAGTGGCTGTTTCATAGACATTAATACATTGATCATCTGATCCAGAGACTATCTTTTCAGAATCGAACTGTAAACAAGTGACCACGTTGCTGCCGTGACCAGGAAACGAAATATGTTTGTATCTACCATCGCGCCAGTTCTGTCTGATTAAGTCAGATGGCTCGACTGGGAGTTTCGAAGAAGCTGTATCAAGAGAAATGCTACGTGATTGCTTAGTCGATGTTGGAAGAGTAGATATGGATGATTGGGATATTATATCAACATCGCTGTCATCGTTTTCATCTTCAGCCCATGTCGGAAGAGTAGATATGGATGATTGGGATATTATATCAACATCGCTGTCATCATTTCCATCTTCAGTCGACTTCATATGGACTTTGACCCAGCCAACGTCAGACTTTTCTTTATGGGAAAGTGTTGCTGATAAGGCAAATGAGAAAGCATCAGTTAGTCAATGTCACAAACTGTATATCACGCATACCCTCAGACAAGTAGACAAACCTACCGGTGGAAGACTTCTCTATAAGAAATAACATTCAACGAATGACAAAGAACATGTTATTGAATTGTCTCTGGTTCACTATGTGCTATTCACAATGTTCTACTCTACGCTCTCAGCACATGTTGCAACAGCATTCGAACTATTCTTCCTCCGTTGCTCCTACTCTATTTAAACCAACATAGTGTATCTTTTTAATTTGCCCTCGTTTCTATCCAGTTCATCTTTGAAACGAAGCATAATCAACTTGTATGCTATGACTTCTATTGCAATAACATCGATAGCTTTCTACCTATCCTTCAAAAAAAACGTGCGTTGTTACCTTGCTTTGATGTTTTGTACGCATCGTAAACTTCTTCTTTAGTGGCTTCAGGATGTTCTCTCCCATATTGAAGAGCAAATTCAAGCATATCCATGTGTGTCATGTTATGGGAACGTGTAGTATGCGTTCTCCGCATCATGGGAAAGGCTAACCATGCCTCAAGTATTTTAATCTATAATGGGAAATTTCTATTGTACGCAGCAAACGCAGCGATGCATTTATGGAGGGTCAGCGTTTTATTGGTTTACGTGTCGTGTGAAATAGTATTATCTATGGCCGGTTGCACTCGCTCACATGTTTAGAGTTATGTTGCACCCAAGATTAAAAACACAAATAATTACACAATCTTCTCTTTACAAATATTCTGCAGACCTTCATCAGTCACCTGTCATCTCCGCATTGTCCAGTCGCTGCCTAATATTTCTGTCAAACTCTCCGCCACGATATTGTTAAACAGTTCTCCATTGAAAGTCCTTTCCTTACTACGACATTTCCTGCACTTTTCTTGCAAAAGTGTTCTATATCTTTTTCCCTTTGTTCCTTTTATGAGATTGTATATGGGTTTAAGGAGAATATTGAGAGATGGTTTAAATGGCAGTGATAGGTTGGATTGTTCAGTTGCATATGCTAATTGGAACAGGAGACGGATGTGAGATGACATTAGCTATGGACACGAATAGGCAGAAAACGAGTACTTACCGAGATATTCACTTATGACTGTTGAGAACGGTTTAGGTTGTGTGCCATACAACTCTAATGAAGGAAAATTACCACTTTATTAAAATTTAGGAAAGTGTGTATCATTTATATTCTTCGTATTACCTTGCTCAATATCGGAAAGAAACAACGGATCTTTTATGACTAAAAAACCGTAAAATGTACACTTAGTTCACAAGTTTTTAACCGTTTTATATTTCTTTCTGCTTACCCTTTCTTCCTATCATAACTCCGTCTACATTATTCAAATGCTCGTTAATACTTTCAATGCTATCGATTCCTCCGTTGATGGAGAAATTTATGTGAGGAAATTCCTCTGCTATCCGACGAACTCGCGAATAATCCAACGGAGGAATTTGCCGATTCTTCTTTGGAGAAATACCGTTAATCCAACATTTTCTCGCGTGTATTATAATATGTCTAACTATATCTGTCTTCGACAAAACGGAAATCTGCGTGGCAAAAAGAAGAGTAATGATGGTATACAACAATACTAACATAGCCGATGAATCCTCATGATTCGTAATATTGATCACATACAAATCTAGACAAATCTTCATACGAATCTACTTCATCAACACCAGTTCTGCATTTGATTGTAACAGGAATGTGTACACCTTTCTCTTGGATCGCATAGAGAATTTGAGCAAGCTTTTCCGGTGTCTTCATCAACGTTGCGCCAAAGCAACCACGCTATAAAAATATACTATAATTTCTTGAACTCTGTATTGCATCTGCAGCTCATGTATATTTTAGTTATACCTGTACTCTTGTACTTGGACATCCTAATAACATCAACCACAGATTATTTTTGATAACTCATGCTCGTGACGTCTGTATCTCGATTGGACACTTACCGCAATTGATATTGACTTCCTACCATCCATTCTCTTCGATTATTTTCACCGCCATTGCCATAGCTTCTGGCTCCGATCCACCCAATTGAACCACCGCGTCTTTGATTACCGGTCCGATAAAATGGGAAATAGTTGATCTGTGTTTTATTATTGCATTACAATGAACCATTTCTGTATAAAGTTTCACGTTTTGCGAGAGCAGACGACAGAGGTGAAAAAAGTGCTGGTGAGAAGGATAATGAGTGAGAATGTGTGTGGAATAGATAAATGCCGACACAATTAGCTTACAAACTTTGTCAGTGACGTCGAGCATCGGAGCCACTGCTATCGGTTTGTCAAGACGACTCCTGTTGGCAAAAGTTTTAAAGGTACGAAACATATGTTTGCTACTACTACGGGCATTTAGTTTGCATCTCATCATTGTCAGCGAGTGCATTCGCTACGTTTGCAAAGATCGTAATACCAATCATGCCACAGTCAAAGCCACATGATGTGATAATCGAATTATTTTAAAGAGAAACAATTTATTTATTTGTATTAACTGTTCTACAGCTGAATTAACAAAGGATATAAATATAAATGATTACTTTAATTTAGCGATTTTAGTAACGGTCTTGAAATTCTAATTCCTAATCGAACAAGACATTGTTAAACCTCTATTACTATATCCAAGTTTCACTGTCAAAAGTTTGACATATTAATATCTATTTAGTAGATCAACCAATGACATTGCATAATTCTATGGTATATAAAGACACGAAATCTGTTCAATCCCAACATGACAATGGCAGAACCAACGTCAGCCGGAGGTTCAGCTTCAGATCCCAATGCTACAAAGACCGTGCACTCCTATATTTCTGATCTCCAGGACTTGATCAAAACGGCTCAGGAGAACTGGGGCTTGACAGCCGAAACGCAATTTTCTTCAGACCAATCCCTTGCAAAATCGACCAAAGCCACGGACTCTGCAAACGGTACAGAAAAGTGAAACTTGGGCATTGCCTAAATATTTCGGCCCGTGAGACTTTATAACGCCAACACGAAATATTCTTCGAACTTTCCTTAAGCAATTCACCCACTCGGTCCCGTAAATGTTGGTCGGCTAGCAAGTGAATTTAAACAGAGGATTGACGCTGTTCGAAACATATTGAAGACTTTCCAGGAAACTACACTCAATCAAGCGAGTCTCGAGTCTAATTTAGACAGTTCATTGAGGAAATTATTGCAGGTACCGCAATGGTTAATCATTTTAATATCATGTGGACGATGGGTCAAGAATGTGATGGCTGAACGTGTTTCTTACTCCATTCATAAGAATGAATCAAAGAACTTACGCGCTGTTTCGGAAGTGCAAGAAAGCATTAAAGTTTGCAAAGCTCTTGCATTGAACGCAACCAAGTATGGCGTGGCCCGCCCTGACATGATTGTAAAACAAATCGAAAGAGTAGCGGATGATCTTGGGTTAATAGTCACTTGGTTTCTCTTTACTGTTAATTTGTCTGTAAGCGAAGGAACCTTGTTAATTACGGATATTGTAGATTGAATTACTTGTTCGACGAAGAAACGCGGTCAACTTCTACGCTTGCAGGACAGCTTATCGTTGTAGATGTAAGTTGTATGATGTTTAACTTTAGGCTGTTGACGTTTATACAAGTGAGTCTCGATATAACGACACTGCTATATAACGACATCTTGTTATAACGACAGAAATTTTGGAACAAAAATTTAATATTGCTTAGTTGTCGTATGTAAGTTAATTCTTGATATAAGGACATTCTCGATATGGTGACCATTTGGATTGGAACCGAGCGTGTCGTTATATCGAGACCCACTTGTATATGTTTGGGTGATTATGAAATTACATTCTTGTCTTGTGACTTTTCTCTTGTTAATCATAGATAGACTTTGATCCAAAGACGTATGCTATTACTCACGTGAGGTTTACTCGTGCGTCTGATAAAGGGGAAGAGAACCAGGTAATGAACATATTATTACCATTCGAACCGTTCGTTATAACCTCATCACTAATACAATTTTTTCCAATATAGGTCAACAATCTATTGACGAGCCAATTGAGGTCAGACGAATAAGAATGGATCTGTCTGTATGGATATTATCACCTCAACCCTTTTTAACAAATCTTACAGGTCAAAGGATTTAAAATCGTTTAAGACGAATTTGTCTGCACTGGCAAAAATGGATGCTTTGTATAAAATACATTCTGTTGACTTTTATTCGGCTGTGAAGTGTATTGCCAACGATATCCGTTCGATCTATGAAAAAGAACAGTAAGTGTACGATAATATGATATAGACACTATTTAATTTTATATATTCAGCAACTTCATTAATTACGTTCATTATCAGCACAGTTTGTATGGGAAACACTCCAAGAATATTGTTAGATGGCCATGGCATTGCACTTAGCGACGTAGATCGGGTTGGACCATCTATTGCGTACTGGACAGCAAAGTACAACATATTAGAAATAGACTGGACACCATTTGCAGATGTCAATTTAAAAGGTAATACGGAACGCTTTTGCGGGACTTTGTTGTAAGCTACCTTTTTTACTAATTGGCACGACGGTTGAATATGTAACTAGGCGTTGATCATGATATACTGCGATCGTTTCATCGTTTGTGGATTAATATAGAAGAATCTCAAGGCGTTAATAAGTTTCTACCTTCCGACAGCAGCCATTATTTGTTGGAAGATGAAGCGAATGAGGATGCATTGAAAGAGCTGTAAGTAATTCAATGTTTTTATCAGTACAACTCGTACAAGATTTCATTCTATACTTTAAGGTTATAGAGGTGGGTGCTTATCTTATCCGTTTCCGCAGATACGATATCACTACATCCGATATTACGTTTTCAATATTGCCGACGCCATTGAAATTTATACATCCAAAGGCCAATTCACTGCCATCGGCTCGCGTGCATTTCGTCGCAGTACTGGAGCCATCAGTATATGTATCTGATAGTGTGGCTCGAGCTTTGGGCAATCTGGCAGCGATTACTAGCCGAGGTGAATATAGGGCCGATTTCAATGAACGTAACCATGCATATTAGTGATAACAATGAAAACAATGGCATAAGATACTGACTGCATGTCTATGCGAAATAGGATTTATAGTAAATAGTGCTTACGAAAAAAGAGACAATAGAGGCTTAGCACTCGAACATCTGCTGGTAAGCTTTAAAATTTTTGAATACAATTTGTCAATGAACAAAATACTCATCGATCATTCACAGATACAAGATGCCGTTCCGGAACCAACATTAACAGCCTTAAACAAGGCGCTTAGTCCGGAGACTCGTTGGGAAATGGTTAGTCACTGATTACACGATTAATTTTCATACGTTAAGGAGATATTCATTGCCAAGTTTAATAAATGCGTTCTTATCAACAAAACAGCTATTCGAAGACTCAACGTACGTGCAAGTATATTCGTTCGAGAACCTACTCTTGACTAGTGCAAAGAAGATTCAGCGAATTCCATTCACTCACCCTGATCAAGTATACGGGTTTACAAAGGTAATAATAGAATGGGCGTATGAATTGTTTGTTGCAGTATAATTTTCGTGGGGATGTTAACATATTCTGTGCTACATCAATAGCTCTTGAGGCAGCAACTTGTGTTTAACACACTCTTCCAAAGCTGTTTCAACGCAAGTAGTTATAGAAGCACGCTTTCTACAATGCATTCATGTTTTGAAGCATCTCTTGCAGGTTAGTGAATATGTTTAGATGTCGTAATTCAATATTAATATGTCTAACAAACTCTACCGTTTTAACCTCACCATGTTTACGAAATCCTGGCTTGACGATATACATATGCAATAGAAGCCCTTTATTCAGTCCCAGCAAGGGTGCATGTTAAAATAGAAACTCAGGATCCGCCCAACCGCATATTTGTTACTCTTCATATAAGTAATGGATCATTCATTACTTTACAGATTCATATCGCACCGGAAGATGCTCAACCATATGTAATGTGTCATGCGGATGATATTCAACTGGATCATGCAAGGTTGACACGCATATTACAAGCATGTCAGAATATACCAATGCTTGTTCGTTGCATATTAAATGCACTCACTGGAACTATTCCTATGATCACTGAAAGTGAAGCACCGATCGATGTCACAATGGAGACCGATCCTGTTGAATTGAATTTTGTGTTGTAAATTATAATATGGTGAGAACAATACATCAAACTGTCAGCAGACAAGTACCCATTATTAGTCGAAAGCAACTACTATATTATTTCGACCAATAATTTATACTACACTTGGAAACAGATGTCTGAGCAAAAGCATCTTTTTCAATCTTTTTTCTGTTGTTGGTCTGGGGGCGAGCGCCAAAAGAATTTGCCGAGAATGTGTTGCCATAATTGGTTCTCTTGACATCCCAGACTGCATAGCCGCTCTCATATTCGTCTTTCAATTGCAAATACTTTTGATATCTGTAAACTGATTAATGGCCAGGATAGGCATTGATTGTTGTTCCGCTCGAACAAAATCTCAAAAGGGCAAAAAATAAAAATTTGTTTCAGTTAAATTGAGACCGTCATGTTAGCAATTAACAGCATTTCATTCAATTTACGCGACTAATGTTAACATGACCCTTAAAGATTAATTCCCAATACCTGACCCAATACCAGCATTTAATTCCATCAGCCTATAATATCCGAATGTTGTATCCACCAATCGGAGATTTTTCATTAAAATGTCACCCATAAACTTCGAAAATGTTGATCTTTCGATTTTCTTAATGAAATGAATCAGCTATCATCTCCAACCGAAGCCGCCTCTTTTTTCCGATCAAAGATCGAAGAATCATTCCAAAAAACGTCGGCCACATTAAATCAATGGAAAACGTATCTAACTGACTATGAAAACTTACAGAAAACTCTCAAGACACTAGATGAAGAAACCGAATACAAAGCAATGGTGAGTGATTACGTTATCCGAGATCATATTATAATATGATAGTAATTATAACTCTTTATGACAGGTCCCAATAGGCAAAATGGCATTTATGCCAGGGAAGATTGTTCACACGAACGAAATATTGGTGCTACTTGGGGATAATTGGTTTGCAGAACGTTCTGCTAAGCAAGCCATTGAGATAATTGAGCGTAGATTGGAATGTAAATACACCGACGAAAGAACTGTCTTCTAAATTCTACGTTCTGTTTCTTTGAACTCACGTTTACAATGTCTTTTAATTTGAGTGGTAAAGAAAACAATAGATGACCTAGAGGTTCAACTTCAGGACCAGTTAACGAAAATCGGGCTGGCTTCTGAAGTCTTGGAAGGCGCTGTTAATAGCACAAAGGTTAGATGAACTATATGATTATAAACAAAACCTCTTCTGTCTCATGAAATATGATAGTGCTTCACAGTTGAACGAAGAAGGCTTACCATTTGTTGAAATTGTCGAAGAATATCATGATGAAAAGACAGAGCAAACTAAAGCCGAAAGTATGTTCTTTTGCTTCCAATGTTATGGTACTACTTACAAGCAATTGATTTCTTTATTGTTTCAGTTAATGCTATTCGTCAACCAACGCAAACACCAAGTCTATCAGCAGCAGATCATCCATCACTCAGAATTTTTGATACTTTTCTGAAAGAGGAAGAAGAAGAATTAAGACGAGAGCGAGAACAATTAGATGAAGACACCTCGACAGAGGAGACCGGCGATTCAGACGACGATGAGAACTATGTAGAACAAGACATATTTGAGTCTTCGGAGGACGATAGCTCCCAAGTGGGGAGAACAGACCCAGTGAGCGCTCTAGTGGACGATAAGTCCCAAATAAGAAGAAAAGACCCAGTCAGTGCCGTAGTGGTCGAGAGGGATACGAATACCAACGTCGATATCGATGAACTTGAAAATGAGATCTGGACCCGAGAGGTTTGTAAAGGAATATGTTTGTATAACGAGGGAATGAGATAATACATTGTCCGACCCGTTTTTTGTGAACTTTTTTTTTTGTCTTTCGATAACAGTACTAACGATCCGCTTGTTTTAAAGATTACCTCCGAATATAATCAAAGACGTCAATCTATGATAGCTCAATACGGTGGATTTAATACACCTGTTGAGGTAATCATTTTCTTTTCTCTTTGACCCCATTTCTGTCACGCTAATTGACACGTTTACGCGTAATATAAAGGAAAAAGAGGTCCCCCAGGCGGATGACAAACCTCGTAAGAAGATTTCTAGATTTAGGGCAGCAAGATTGCAAGGTAACTTAGACTGACTGAATGCTTAGTGTTAGTATTAGTGAGAGATAAGGTAAGAGTCTCTTGATATCGCAACAAAGTGAATGTACAGACATGCACTGGTGTGGTGAGATAACAACTAGTGCACATAACGTACTCTAATGGCATTCTGTAAGAGACGCGACTCTTAATCATTGCATTTCATTTTTTAATTCTATAAAGATAACTCATAAAGGAATGTCTGTTCTCGATAAGATGAAGTCGTCAAATGTTCATATTATCGAAAGATCATTGCAACGAAAGATCCCGTTATAACGAAGATCATATTTGAGTCACGTGAAAAATCGTTATATCGAGCGAAAATTTCTTTATTCAGATAATTATTCTATCTTAGAAAAGAATCTAAGGTGCCTTGTCGCTTCGCTTTTTAAATTTCGAAAGCCAGCCGTCTGATGCACTGAAATTCCCGATATTCGCTAGAGTTGCAAAAGCTATGGCTTTTCTTCACAAAATATGACTAGATATGACTTGTGAGACTTGATTAGCGTGTCTACCCACGTATAAAGAGCTTTTTCAATTACAGGATATGCGGCAATTCGATCGCCATACAAAATCAAATCAACCACATCATCAACAACGCATTTACCAGTATTACCAGTAGGAAATAAGAAATTCATATGATTCATGAAGCAATAGACTACATCAACAACATACAGCAACCAGTAGAAAGAACACAATCCGATTTCAAAATTAGAACAAACTTACCGTCATTATTACGCATACGTCAAGGCGCAAGAGTAATGTACCTAAATAACTCATTAATAGAAAAGAGTATTGCAACGGGACGGAATAGTCTGCTGGATATCCTGACAAACATCTGTCAATATAAACTCCATATCGTCAATCCATCCATGCTTCTCCATTTCGTTCTCTACATACAGCAGCTAAAAAATCAAGTATGGAAGAAAGCCGCATATGACACCGCTCATATTTTTCATGACGAAACGCAACGAATGCAATTCACGCATTTTATTCCCGAAATTGAAGCAATCGAATCTTTTCATTTAACAACATTTGCACGATGTATAATAATTGATTTGTCAAATTGATTAATCTCTATAAGCTACAACAAATTATGCACAATTCGCTTCTGATGTTTTCGAGTAAAGATTATTATAGGTCATAATAATGATCGGATCAAACCGGCTACAAATATTTTATTCTTATTTAGAAAAAAATACATAATAGTACCCTTTTAGAAGAAAAATTTTACGCTAACTTCACTGAACGATGTAGATTAAATTACAATACGATAATACGATAGACATCATCAATACGACAGTTGCAAACCGAAGTAATTATTAATTACATGTGAAATTTTTTATACTACCAACGCTCCTGATATCACTTCCGATAAAGCTGAAATACTGAAGCTAAATCCAAACGCTCATTTACGATAATATGACTTTACAACGTGGAGGATTTATACTTCAGGTAATATAGAAGGTATGGACCACACACATAAACTGGAGCCAGTGATGGAAAGATACTACAAGAAAAGCATGACCTTGTGATGTTGAAATGTTTGAAAGATAATGCGGATAAACTCAACATCCGCTTATATTGTATAATTTTTAGAAAAGAAGAATCTTGCTGTGAAAAGAACAATAAAATTTATATATAGGATTATCCATATATGAAAAATAATGAATACAACGGTTCTACTGAATTTGAAAAAGCAATGCGTTTCTTGGAGATAGGTTGCAAATTGGTTGTTCGAAAAAGATCCCAAGAGAAAATTACGTGAGGCGTTTCAAGCTCTCTCTAGACCCGAGCAAGATATATTTTTAATGGCTCAACTGAAAGCAATGAATGGTGGAGAAATAACTGCCAGCCGATGTTTAAAAAAGAAAACGCGTACTAATAAAAGAACTTTTTACTATTGGGGTCGCAATACGCCTCTTTGCCAGAAAACGTATCTCAATATGTTAGGAATTGGCCGCACTCATTTGGAAAACGCCAGAATAAGAAATCACTTGGCGACGAATGGTATATAAGCCACGTGTTCATGATAATGTAAAAAGAGTGCCGCGATGGAAAACCAAGATAACCATTGATATAACCGTTGCTACCGCCGTGAAGAATTTTTTTGAGAATTATGCTGAAATTCATGGACTACCAAGTCCTGGTAGAAACGTCAATCGCATTACTCAATCGCTTACACTTTTACCCGCCGAAACTAGTTACAAATCAGTCTATCGCGATTTCATTGCAGGTCTCGAAAACGATAGCACGTTGAAATTGTTAAAATATGATGCGTTTCGCAAGTTATGGCTCCAATTAACACCTTACATTCAAATCATGAACCCAGGAACAGATTTATGCGATACTTGCCCCCGAATGCTGAAAGCAATGCATTAATACACGAATATTAGTCTTGCAACCGTTACTTTACTATGGACCATGTCCGATTTATTCAACAGATTAGAAAAGATTGAGCAATCATTACCGAGAACAATGAATGCATACTATACTGATTTGCCCAGACTGTCGTATATGAACGGAGCAGTTCTTGTGTATGACACGTTTTATTTTCGCTACGGGCTGGAAGGGAGAGTTATGATAGATCTTCGAGGATTGACGATTCACCATCGCGTAATACCATCGATAAGCAGTACTTGCATGAGTGTCAGAAATTTTCAATCGAAGATTTTGAGCAGGCGTAAACTGCACGACTTTATTTCAGAATTCTATTAACTCAACCATATTGACATGCATGAAGCCTATCATATTTACCAGCAATTGGAAGAGAAGTACACCCGTAAAATAAAACCCGTGAATTGCAAGTTTATTCAAGAGTTTGAGTCGCTAAATTATAAGACAATGGACGATGTTAATATTGTAAATTCATTCAAATCAACATACAACCAGTTGTTGTTTTCATACCTGCAGCTGAATCCAAATCATGGCTATTTCTTGGTTTGGGCAAATCTCCAGTAGGTAAGAGTTTACTAGAGTACTTACTCTCCTTCTCGAGACGCGATAGGGGCTTTACATCATTATAATAGATGGTATTCCATGCATTGCTGTCATCAGAATCATCTGCACTCAACTTTTCAATAAGTTTTTGAAAATAGTCCCAAAAAAGCGTATTTGCATCTGGACGCTTATCAGGATCAGCATCACAACACAACTCAGCAATCTTTTTATATTCCTCTGGTGCTGAATCAGGTATCATTGGCCGTAGTCCACCCATAATATCACATACTAAGTCTCTATCAAACTGCCTATCTCTAAAAGGTGGTTCACCAGTGGCCATCAAATACATAATAATACCAAAAGCATATATGTCTGATTTCTGAGTAAATTTGCAAGTATGAAAGACTTCCGGTGCAATAAAGGGTAAAACGCCTCGAATGGTTGAATTTGACTCGCGTGAATTTACTGATCGTGAGAGGCCAAGATCGCATATCAATGGTGCTGTCTCGGATAAATTATCATGCAAAACTATGTTTCCGCCATGAAGATCACAATGCACTAATCCTCTATCATGAATAATACACAAATTACGAGCAATATTCCACAAATAATCCAATTTCGTGTACCATGTCAATTTGTTTATGTTTTGATCCAAATAAGACAAAAGACTACCGTGGTTAGCATATTGCATAACAATCATATACTCTTTTGTTTCTGGATCTTGTGTGAGTCCATAAATATCAAGGAATGGCTGACTATTACTATGCTTGTCAATGATGCACTTGGCATGATTTCTGAACTATTAATAAAAATAAATACAACATTAAATTAAATATCACTTTAATTAATACTACCAATAATTGCTTACCTCAGAAATAAATAATTCCGGCGTTTCATCAAAACTGTTAAACCGTTTGAGAACAACAGTTTGTGGCATATCCTCTTCTGAATACTTTTTATATTTGGTAGTATAAACTGTTCCATAGCCACCAATTCCAATTTCCTTCATTTCATCAAATTCAGTATACTGGATGTACTTTACATGTTTATTCTTTTGTATAAATTTATCCAATAGTGAGTGTATGTCATGGTAGAACAATAAATAGTATTTTTGAGTAGATGGCTCTTGAGTAATGCCAATTATCCAAACATTATCTGGTGTTAATATCTTGGGGTATTTGTTTATTAGCTATTTGAGTAAATAATCAATGTCAAAACAAGTGATATGCACTTATCAATTGTATTGTTTATATGTGAAATAATTACCTGATAAAAATCAAACGACTGATCATCCCATTCATCAACTATCTTTTTGAGTGTCACTTGTGTCAATTCATTTGTTGTTGGTTCTGACCAATCTGCTGTATTAGTATGTGTGCAATCGTGGCTCTGTTGTACATTTGTCAATAGAGAGTATTCAATCCATTGTATGTATGCATCTTGTTCCTTCTTAATATTCTCCCATGATTCCATAATAAATGAATCCAAAGATTTGTTGCCAGTAGTCCAATCTAGTGGTCTTGGTGCTTTACACCAATAACAGAATGCATTTATCTTAGATTTGAATTGCTCTGCACATGCTAGACATATTCCAATCTCATCTTCTTGTTTCATTAGGTAATACTTTTGTTCACTTGCTTTGTATGTATATCCAATGATAACCCAAACATCTTTGGTAAGGATATCTGGATGCCCATCAAATAACTAGTGGAAATAATATGCCAATAGTTATTACAATTCAACTAACATGATGCATAAGTAATAATAATTGAATAGTTTACCTTGTCACAATCTGTCTCATCTGTTATTTCAAGTGGAATCAATGTCACATGGCCAGGAGTAGGCAGACCAAACAAGCATGTGTCATATCCCTCATCATCAATACAATCGTATGGAATCCACTCCAAATAGTGCTCATTTGCAGAGTTTGTTTTTATTTGAGATTTCTTAATAAACTCATCGAGTTGTTTATTGTTGCTAGTCCATCCATCGGATAATTGTTTATGACCACAAATGCACCACACGGGACTACATCGGAGTATTCCACACGCGGAGCAGA